TTCAACTACCTAAAGGGAGATTTGAAAGAGGATGGAGCTAGACTGTTCTCAGTGGTGGCAGATGACAGAACAAGGAGCAACAGTCTCAAGTTTCAGCAAAAGAAGTTTAGATTAGATATTAGGAAGAATTTTCTCACTAGGAAAAACACTGGAACAGTAAAACACTGGAACAGTAAAGCACTGGAACAGGTTACCCAGAGAGGTTGTGGAATCTCCATTCTGGGAGGTTTTCAAGACCTGGCTAGACAGTTTTGGCTGGGATAATCTCGTTGGGGAAGGTTCCTGCTTTGAGCAGGGGGTTGGACTAGATGACCTCCAGTGGTCCCTTCCAACCCTAATTTTCTATGATTTTGATGATAAATAGAATGAAAGGAAACAAGACCAGGAAATCTTACCTTTAAACACCACTTGTGGCATCTGCCAGAGACCCTGCTATCAACTGACTTATCTACAATCCTTCACTTGATGTGTATGAGTGATCATCCTTGAGAGTGAGGGACTGCTGCTGCTAACATATACCATTTGTATTTCAATATTAACGTTGCTATTAAAATGTATTTAAACTTATTTTCTTGGGGTGATTGTAGACCCTAAAAAAGTGGTACTTTAAACTCAATGTGTTCCTGTGCTGAGCCCTGTGTATATCCAGAAGAGGCAGAGCCTTAGTTGGACACAGCTCGCCCAATGTCTGTATAGATCAGGTGCTTAAGTGGGATTTTTTTTTTGCGCTTTTAGCTAATAGATGATTGAATCAGCTTTAGGTAAGTGCTAAAAAGCCCTGTTGAGGCACCCAATTTATACAGATGCTGCAGAGCTGGGTTGAAGTACCATGCTGCTTTCTTCCGGCAAAGCATGGTTTGTTTAAAAAATAAAAACAATGTCTGCGAGCAGCCTTGAACACTTGATTTTGGTGGTGCATGCTGCCCAAAAGTTCCTCGGTCCCCAAAACAACTTTGGGGGTCAACCATGGCTCCCTACACCTTCTGCGCAAGAAAGTCACTTTCAGGTGGAGTGCCATTGGCCAGCAGATCTACTTGGAAAAACACATTTTTAGTGAAATCTGAGAATTTTTCCTGTGTAAGAAACAGAACTAAGGCTTTATGAAACAAAACTGGATAGAGAAATTAATCTGTTCTGAACTCAATTCTAAATCTTGTAAAGTGGTCATTGAATGAACAAGTGGATGACAAATTAAAGTACTGAAAAGGGTAGGAGGAGAGCCTGTAACTCTGAGAAGTTATTTTCCAGAAACATCTACCTGTTCTTTTTACATTGTTTCAGTTCCATGATAACCAGGGTTCTCCATTTTTCCCATGGAAAAATGGAGAAAACACAGATTTTCCCCTTTACCCAAGGAAAACATGAATTTCTCATTTTAATGGAGAAACCTGCAGATTTTGCAGTTTTGCAAAGAGCTCTTTGCAGGCTGGCAGAATTCCAGCCTGCAAGGGGCTGGGAGGGAATGGGAGGAAGGCATTGAGGCAGGGTGTGCTATGTGCATGTATATGTACATGGCCGCCAGGCAGCCTGGAGAACAGCTCTCATAGGTAAGTGAGGGAGGAGGGGACTGAGGCCCCCATAGGGAGGGAGAGGGGGAGTGGGGCAGGGGCTGGGGCTGCTGCCCAGTCAAGTGGTGCATGGACCTTGGGGCCTGGGGCTGTAATGTGTGGCTGACGGGCCCCAGCAGGGAGCAGGACAGGGCTGCAGGCAGTTCACCTGGGGGGCAGGGTGGGTGGGGCCAGCTCCCCACCACTGTGCGCACTCCCAGGGGGTCAAGGGGGACCTGTGCCTTCCAGATCTGTGTGGGGGGCGGGGAAAGGCACAGGCTGCCCGGTGTGGGCTTGAGCTCCCTGCTCTACTGCCCTCCTCTGGGGCCTCCACAGCACAGCAGGTGCGACCCAGCACTGCAGGGCACAGCAGTGTTTTACTGTTCCAGTGTTTTTCAGTTTCCATGGGGAAACTGCTTGCTGCTGCAAGCTCCGTGTTGTCCTGACAAGGTGTACCTTGCCCGCGCAGCAGCAGGAGGGGCAGCAGCGCAGGGTTGTGTCCCTCATTGATGCCACACGGGTAGGGGATGCATCGCCAGGGCAGTGCAGGGCTCACAGCAGCAACAAGCTTCCCCGTAAAGCCCCGCTGTTCCCTGCAGTGCCGGGTTGCACCCGCTGGACTGAGAAGGCCCAGGGGGATGGCAGCAGGGTGGGAGCCCAAGCCCACAGAGGGCAGCCTGTGCCTGCCCCAGCCCTGTGCACAGATCTGGGAGGCACAGGTCCCCGCTGGCCCTCCAGGAGTGAGTGCAGCAGTAGGAAGCCACCCCACTCACCCGAGCCCCCAGCAGCCAGGCAGCAGGAAGCAGTGGGGGAGCCAGGCTCTGCTCCACTGCAGCAGCCTCCTCCTCCTGCCAGGGAAAGGAGGGTGTGGACCTGGGTCCCTGACCCCATAGCCCTGGCAGCTGGGAGCCCCCTCCAGCAGGGCTCAGGGGGGACACAAGGCCGTGGTGGGGGATGAGGGGCACCAGCAGGACTGGGGGGGCACTGTGGGGGGAGTGAGAGACATGAGCAGAGGCAGGGGGTCGTGTGGGAGTCGTGAATGAGGGGCCTGTCATTTTAATCACAGATTTGGGAGGTGTTTATCAGAAAAGTTGTGATTTTTTTTATCAGGGAAAACCAGGATCCCTGGTGATAACACTAGCTGATACTGCATTATTAGGAAATAACTTGTCATTAACGATTTGTTACTATGTCCTTCAGATTTCACAGGAACACGAAGCCTGGTTTTTCCTCCTTAACAAGAACAAACAACAAATGCTCGCAAACATTCGTCTGACAGCCAGAAAGCAAAATGTTTCTATGATATTGTTAGGTGGCAACACAGTCAACAGGAATTATGTGCCTAAGTGAAGAAGAATGTATGTATTACATAGATATTTTCAGTTTTGTTATAACCATATGATGCCTGGAGGGGCTGGGCCAGACCAGGCTGGCTCTATACCACGCTGCCTGGAACTGTGTGGCACTGCTGGGTCCTCCTGCTGGCTCCTCCTGAGTCCTGCTGCTGCTGGTGCCTTGTCATCTATGACAGGCAGCCATGGGAAGATAATAATTAATTTTCTGAATTTTTTTTAGGAGCCCTGCAAGCCAGATAGGATGGCCTGGTGGGCCGTATTTTACTAACCCGACCTAGGGCCTTGTTACATGTTACAGTTTGCATACATTATATTTAGATTGAAGTAATAATTAATATACCAGTTTTCTGAGCACTCACACATTAATACTCACTGGGTGCACCTACACGTTCATTAAACAACCGCAGTTGTTTTTGCTACTATGCATTAAATTTAGTACCTCTAATGTGAGGTACTAACTAAATGCACATTAGGCTTCCCTAATGTGCAGTAGGGGAAGTGCACATTTTTTAGTAATGCTTAATGCACAGTAACCTAAATTTTATTGCACATTAGCATGGTTTTTGCCATGATGCTATAATACGCTCAGTAAAATAGGCTACTGAGCATTAAAGCACACACGCAGACACGCCCACTATGATCTAAATATAAAACAGTAGCATCACACCGGAGTCTTGAACAGGCTCTGGTAAGATCCCAGGACTGAGACTAAAAAACAACTTATTTTCAGTCTCAGACCTGGAATCACACCAGCACTGGTTCAAGGCTCCCATGCTGCGTTGGGGCTGGGACTGGCTCCTGTGCTGCATCAATGCCATGCAAGTGTCACTCCCAGGCCACACACTGCACTGGAGCCTTGAAATGGCAAAGCTCCTGTGTATGGGGGAGCCCACTGAACAGTTGTTTGTCAGGCTCCCAGTCCCCTTCCCAGACCGGAGCTTTGAATTGGCAAGGCTTCAGTGTAGTGCAGAACTGGGGGGAGGGAAGTCAGGCTCCACAGCTCTGTACCACAATCCCCTGATCATATTACCTCCATGGGACAGTCTGATGTTAGGTCAGCATGTATTAGATAAACACAATCTGGAGATCTTCCTAACTAGAAAAGGCCTAACTTTCTTATGCTAGTATGGCAATTAGCCCCTGGTTTACTGCTTGAAAGCTCAGATACTAGCATAGCACTTGCTAACTGCACTTGCAAAGTGTAACATGCAACATATTCCTTACTATAAAACCACCAAACTGTAATAAAGATTTGAGTGGAAATCAGATCCTGTTTGGACCCACTACAATACCATGAGAGAGAGGCTGTGATCAGTGAAGTGTGCTGATTCTGTTGCTGTCATGGGTGGTTAGGAGGTGAGCTCTTGGAGAACTGAACTTGGACATAGTCGTTCTCTAATTGAGCCTTTGGTAATTTTTCTGCATGATATTCCTAGAGCTGTAGGAAATATAGGTTGTGGCAAAATATCACCCTGATCCTGATACCAGGACAGAGGACTTGGCCTCCGCTTTCTGTTGGGGAAGCCCAGAGAAAGCGAAGTTAAGGATTTGGAAGGCAGGAGGGGTAGCGTGCATCTACCTGATAGTCTGAGTAAAATATTTACCTGAGTGGTTCAATGTCCGACTAGAAAAAGGTTTGGCATATGTAATCTCTGTAATAGCTGACTGTTTGAGAAAGAAGAGACTGCTTTGCGTGACAGAGGGAGTTTGAATTTGTGGGCTAGTAGCCAGGGTTTTGAAGCAATGTCAGCTTGTTATCTCTGTGTTCCTAGACTGAAGGTTGCTGTGTGACTTTGGTATATGTTAATACAACTTTTTCTTTTACTGTTCGGTCCTATTTTATAACTTATATTCTATTATATCTAACAATATACTTACATTCAGTTTAAACACATGCTCAGGAATATTTTATTTTGTGCAAACTCTCACATAAAACCTGGCAAATATGCAGCCCGAGTTTTAACTCTTAGGTTGCCTGGCTAAACCTTATGCCTCTCTGTCACTCCTTTCACCTCAGTGCTTTAATTAGTTGCCTGCCCCAAAATAAATTCATCTGTGAACCCTAGTTAAAATATAGATGGTTAATGAGCTGACTTACCAGACTGTGAAGAGTTCCATTTATGTTGGTACCGTGCTTTTGAGTTTTCAATACATCCCCATAATCAGTGGCATCAAAGTTAGTCTTCCATACCATCACCTGTAGGAGCAAACCAATTGGCTAAGTTAACCATCTTAACATCTCAGTCATTTTGCTGGATATCACTCCATAATGAATTAAGCCTTTACAATAGAGAGTGTGAAGACCAAAATTTGTCTCATTGTCACATACTAACCACTTGAACAGACATAGAATCCCTTAAGACACAAGATCTCTAATGAAGTCGATAAAAAGTTCTAAAAATATTTTGAGTGAATTGGTAAGTATCTTTTAGCTACTAATACAAAAATATTTTTGCTGTATATTTTAGTTTACAAATCTAACCCCTCATTTTTAGAAAGTTAACAGTACTGAACTTGCAAGTAGCATGGGGACTGCTTAAGAACACCATTATTGGAAGCACAGAGCAAATACATATAAAGAGGCTTTTTATTTCCAAAAGAGAAAGCCAAATTCTAATGAGGAAAATAAAAGAACATAAAATTCTGGCAAATCAAATATAAAACTGTAATAAGACAAGCTAAGAAAGAATTTGAGGAGACATTTCTGAAAAACATGAAAGGTAACAATAACATTTTTTAAGTACATGAGAAATTGAAGACCTGCCAGGGAATCAGTTGCGTCTTTGAATGATCAGTGTAAAAGAAGCACTAAAGGATGAGAGGGCCATTGCTGAGAAACTAAATGCTCTTTGCATCTGTCTTCACTGTGGAAGATGCCATGAAAATTCCCTCATCAGATCCACTCCTCTCGGGTCAAGTACGTAGAGCTGACCCAAACTGAGATTTTAGTAGCTAAGGTCATAGAGGAAATTCATAAATTAGACCGTAGCAAATCATCAGAATCTGATGGCATTCACCTAGGTTCTGAAGGAGCTCAGATCAGAAACAGCTGAACTTTTAATTGTAAAATGGAACCTAACACTAAAAACAGCTTCAGTACTAGAGGACTGTAGGGATGCCAATGTGATTTCAATATTTATAAACGGCTCTAGGGGGGGCAAAGAGAACTACAGGCCTATGAGCCTAACTTTTGCTTCTGGAAAACTTCTAGAAACAATTAAAAAAAACAACAAAACAATAAGAAAATAAAATAATTGTCCAGCACATGGATGAACATGACTTGCTGGGGAGGCATCAAAACAACTTTGTCAAAGGGATATCATGCCTCACAGACCTACTAGAGTTCTTTGAGTGTGTCGATAAGCAGGTAGATCAAGGCAATCCAGTTGACATAGTATATCCAGTACTTCCACAAAGTCTTTGACAAAGTCCCCCCACAATCAGAGGCTCTTAAGGAAGTTAGGTAGTCACAGGATTACAGGAAATGTCCATTCATGGATTAAAATTGGCTTAAAGATAGAAAGCAAACAATGAGTATGAATGGTCAGTTCCCCCAGGGATCTGTTTTGGGACCACTACTGTTTAACATTTCCAGATCACTTATGAATAAGGGGATGAGTAGCAAGGTGGCCAACTTTGAGTATATCACAAAATTATTCAAAAAGTGGTAAAGACCAAGGGTAGACTATGAGGAACTACAGAAGGATCTGGCACAACTGAATGGGCAACTAAATGGCAAATGAAATTCAATGTGGGTAAGTGTGAAAAAATAACCCAAACAATACCTACACTATGATGAGCTCTACATTAGCTATTACCACAGGAAAGATCTTGGAGGCATTGTGAACAGTTCACTAAAAACATCAGCTCAGTGCTCAACAGTCGTCAAAAAGGCAAACAAAAAGTTAGGGATTAAGAAAGGAATTTCAAACAAAACTGAAAGTATCATCATGCCATGCCTTGAATACTTTGCCCAGCTCTGGTCCATACACCTCAAGAAGGATATAGAAAAATTAAAGAAGGTTTAGAGAAGGGCAACAAGGATCATTAGTGGAATGGAGGGACTTTCATATGAGGAGACACTAAAGAGCCTAGGCCTACTCAGTTTATAAAAGAGACACTTGAGGGGGTGCATGATAAAGGATTAGAAAATACTAAATAGCAAAGCAAAAGTAAACAGGGATGTATTAGTTACCGTTTCTCATAATACAAAAAACTAGGAGTCACAAAATGAAACTAGTATAGGAAATAAGGTTGAAACTAAGGAAAGAAAGTTATTTTTCATACAACATGTAATAAAAATGTGGAACTCATTGCCAGCAGATGTTGTGGAAGTGGACAGTTTAGTCAGATTCAAAAGGACTGTACAAACTCTTACAGAAAAGGGGCATCAGTGGCCCTTAAGTACAGGAGTTAGGGATACAGCTTCTGAACTTCTTATACCTTAAATGTTGGGGGATGCAAGTGAAAGAGGAACAGTGGAAAAAACCCTGGTCATACCCTGTTCATTCTTCCTTTCAACATTCACTCTCTGCCACTGTGCGACACAGACCTATTTGATGTGCCATGGGGTCATGGGCTTTGGCCCATCATGAAAAACTATAAGCCTCCCTTAATAAGGGAGGCTGCTGGGAATGAATTAATTGACTTCTTGGGACAACTAAAAAGAAAACAGGAGTGGGAGTGAAGTCATAATTAGGGAACCGGAAGGGGACGTTGAGCAGAGCACACCAGTCAGCATCCACTGCCCCCAAATGAGTCGAGGGACCCTGTGGATACTGACCAGTGAAACTTTGCCTGAATGTATGAATGGAAGAGTTACAGGAAGACAGCTCCAAACTCACTCAGGTTCCCTCCAGCCAGAGCTTTCTTCTTGGTCTTATATATGGCCAACTTGGCCAGAGCCAGAAGGAGGTCCCAGGAATTGATGTACACACAACAGGAAGTGCATAACAAAAAAAGGTGCAGGAAGAAGTAAAGCCAAAACCTCAGCAGGAGGTTCTGGAAGAGGAAGAAGAGGGGCTGTAACCTGGCACGCTTGAGGCAGGCATGTTGCAGGTTCTCCCTCTGTTGGCAAAAGGGGCAGGTGATGGGGGTGTCCGTAAAGCATGCAAGATACTTTTTCCTGTCCGTAAAGCATGCAAGATACTATCCTGATGGCTCCATGGAGGAATTGCCAATTGAGGTCTCTGGTGGCTTAAGGGATCGAGGTGAAAAACACCTGTACGCCAGGGACCCTTGCACCCTGCCCTTGACTAGGGTGTCCCAGCACTTGTCAGGGTGGGACACAAGGATGGGATGATGGATTGCACAGAGCATGAACATGCAGAGCTGGCAGCAATGGGTTGTTTGGAGGTGGACCGACTTGGTGGCAGACCGCCTGCTAAGATGGTGGAGTAGAGAGCACAGTGGGGTCTGGCAAGGCAGTGGCCCCATGACTAGCTCCGGAGGGCTTGGGGGATATCAGGGGCAGGGACTGCCCCCACACAGGGCCTGGTCAATGTAGGTGAAGTCAATGGGTGGCAAGAAAGCCTTTTTACCTCCTGGAGGACGCAGCAGGGAGCATGCAGCATAGGCAGCTCCATATACTGGGCCAGTGAAGAGGGATCCGCCCACCCATCTGGCACAGTCCAGGAGGTCTCTGATACAAGTGATGATGGCCAGGACCATCCTCTGGCATATCCAGGGCATCTTGGTCACTGGCACCACCATCTGGGGGGTTTTCAGCAGGGGCTTGGCAAGGAGATTGGCACCTTGGGCAACTGGGTCTTGGAACCTGGAGGCAGAGACCAGTGTCCAGGCCCTGAGGAGGTCCTAGTAGAAATCTGGCAGCTCCTTCAGCTCCTGCTTGGAGAGACCTTGCAAGTAAAAGATCTTCCAGGCATACCTGAACCTGTAGAGGCAGTGAAAAAAGGCACTGTCAATCAGGTACCACGTCACCTGTCTAAAAGCACTGTACAGGAGCCTCTCCAGGGCCTGAACATAGAAGGTGTGGACCTAGTCTTACCTGCCCTCCCCCAAGGAGAGTGTAACAGGGAACCCTAGCCCTGTTACTAGAAAGTGGGGCAACCCCTTTAAGTCTACATGGGGCACAGTGTAGGGATGGTACAGAGCCATGGAATCAGTCCTTAAGGCAGGAGCTCCACACCTGCAGGTGTTCCTCAGAGCGATTTCAGATCTGGGAAGCCCTGGGGCAGCCAGCCCTTTGAGAACCAGAAAAAACATCAAGATGTTGCAGGTGAGTGAAGGGGGAACTGTTCCCAGAGTGAGCCAGGAAAGGGAGGACTCTAGGGAGGGCTCCCGGAACCTGCGACTGCCCTGGGGATGGCAGCCTGTAACACTGCTGCACTGGCTGGGAAGACTCCTAAGGCAGTATGTGCCATAAGACAATGGCTTATGTGGAAGGAAAAGAGAACCCTTGGATCCAACGAGAAGTTGGAGAGGTATGTAGAGGCGCTGGCCTCGGACCTGGCAGCACAGCAACAGATCTTGGAACTTCTGGTCCAGATAGTCCAGGATATGCAATGCCAAATAGAAGCACAGCAACAGCTGCTGTTAGAGAGAGGGGTCAGGTGCACTTCAGGAGGGAGAATCTGATAGGCCAGATCCCCAAACAGCAAAAAGGCAAAAAAGAGAGGAAGAGGAGAACAAATGTTTACTGATAAGAGTGATGGGGTAAAGTGTTGCTATGGAGAACAGGCTGGCCAGGAGCTGTGAAAAGAGTGGGCTGTGCTGATGGTGGATGTGCAGTTACAGAGACAGAAGGTACAGGCTATGGTGGACTCAGGCTCAGCCCAGACAGTAGTGCGGAGAGACTTGGTGCAAGGAAGAAAGAGGAAAGTGGTACGTCGGATAGCCAATAGATGCTTGCATGGGGAAACCCAAACATATGTTAAAATGTGGGTCACCCTGCAGTTAGGAGATGATACCCATCAGGTGTTAGCAGGGGTAGTCAATAAATTGCCACATCTGGTGCTCTTGGAATGCAACTAGCCAAAACTTTTAGCAGTGGCACAGCCTGCCATGAGGGCAGGTCAGGGGTCAATAGCTGGCAAGAGGCCAAAAGCTGAAGTACAGACACATAGCCTGGGAGGGGCAAACAGAGACAGTGAACCCACAAGTCTCACCTGACACTGGGAGCACGGAGTCCCAGAAGATAGGTTGGAGGCTGAAGAAACACACAGCTGAACACACAGC